TTTTTCTTTATTACAAATTGAAAAACGAAAACCTATTATTTTCAGATACTAAAAATAGGGGTTTTAATAGGAAACTTCCAACCAGAAATTTAACACACGGGGGCCCAGCAACAATCCCCAAGTTTTCTTATAGCAATAGGATTAAGCAACATATCATTTAAAAGGTGATGTTCATAATAAAAATATATTTTACATTTTATCTAGTTCTCAATTTGATTACAAAATATGTTTTTTAATATTGTTAAATATAATTATATAAAATGACATAAAATTACCTAAAATTACACAATTATACGTTAAAATTAAATAATATTACGTTAAAATTACATAAAATTAATTACATGAAATTACATAAAATTACATAAAATTACATAAAATTACATAAAATTACATAAAATTACATAAAATTACATAAAATTACATAAAATTACATAAAATTACATAAAATTACATAAAATTACATAAAATTACATAAAATTACATAAAATTACATAAAATTACATAAAATTACATAAAATTACATAAAATTACATAAAATTACATAAAATTACATAAAATTACATAAAATTACATAAAATTACATAAAATTACATAAAATTACATAAAATTACATAAAATTACATAAAATTACATAAAATTACATAAAATTACATAAAATTACATAAAATTACATAAAATTACATAAAATTACATAAAATTACATAAAATTACATAAAATTACATAAAATTACATAAAATTACATAAAATTACATAAAATTACATAAAATTACATAAAATTACATAAAATTACATAAAATTACATAAAATTACATAAAATTACATAAAATTACATAAAATTACATAAAATTACATAAAATTACATAAAATTACATAAAATTACATAAAATTACATAAAATTACATAAAATTACATAAAATTACATAAAATTACATAAAATTACATAAAATTACATAAAATTACATAAAATTACATAAAATTACATAAAATTACATAAAATTACATAAAATTACATAAAATTACATAAAATTACATAAAATTACATAAAATTACATAAAATTACATAAAATTACATAAAATTACATAAAATTACATAAAATTACATAAAATTACATAAAATTACATAAAATTACATAAAATTACATAAAATTACATAAAATTACATAAAATTACATAAAATTACATAAAATTACATAAAATTACATAAAATTACATAAAATTACATAAAATTACATAAAATTACATAAAATTACATAAAATTACATAAAATTACATAAAATTGCATAAAATTACATAAAATTACATAAAATTACATAAAATTACATAAAATTACATAAAATTACATAAAATTACATAAAATTACATAAAATTACATAAAATTACATAAAATTACATAAAATTACATAAAATTACATAAAATTACATAAAATTACATAAATTTACATAAAATTACATAAAATTACATAAAATTACATAAAATTACATAAAATTACATAAAATTACATAAAATTACATAAAATTACACACACTTATATAAAATTATATAACATTTGTAAAATAATAAATTTGGAAATGGGTATTAGTAAAAAGCGATTAATAATTTTTTAAATTATTAGATAGATAAATAGCGTATTTTTTAAATATAAAAATCCTAAGAATCTTATAAAAAACAAAACAGGCATTATAATTTACCATTTTATTGATGAAGCAGATATTTGAACTAAAATAATGTTATAAAGATTCCTTGCATCATTCCGTAATCGACCACCTGTCATAAATAAAATGAATCATCCATTTGGTATTATTTAATTATTAATTTAGCTATCAATCTCGTTTGCAATTAGTTGGATTTATATTTCATTATCAAATATATCTGATTAAGGGGTATTATTTAATTAATGAAAGTACGTACTGCCTGGAGAACTCTACATAATATTGCACTTTACTAAAGTGAATTGGAACATTTAGGGCAATAAGTAGTAAAAAGTTTTATAGCCTATGAAACCGATGTTAGAAACTATACAGGTTTCCAAACAAAGTTGGCGCCCTTAGGCCAGGTTTAGAATTATTCTACAATTTAAAAACTGTCATGAACTAAAGATGATATCTGAAAACTAAACCCTAATAAAAACAATTTACTGTACTCATGAACTAGAAATAATTAAAAATATTTATTTTGGATAAACTTGTCACCTTTTTTCTTCTTCTAATAAATCTCATAAAGTAAAGCATTAACAATTATTAAAATTTGATTATTAATATCATTAAGATCAATTAGCAGTTTTGTTTAAACTTAACTTATCTAGAGTCTTAGAGTGTCTTTGAGTCTAATTATTTAGTTACACTTACAATTTCTAAAATATCTAACATATCTGAAATATCTGACTTAACTCACGCAGACGAAGATATATAATTTTTAATGTATACCTTTCATGGTTCGTGATTTTTATTAGATTTTGCTGAACGTTTACTTTTGGAAATGAGTCGGTGGGACATGTTACACATTTTTAAAATCGTATTTGCAAAAGATTTCATTTTATACCTCACACGATGGCATCAGAAAATATTTTTTTTTAACTTCGAAATTATCCCCCCAAAACTAACCCCCAGATTAAAAAAAATTCTACTTTTTTAGTTAACGTCTTTATTTGGGTCACTACTTTATATAGCTGTTTCTTTCAATATTATAGGACAAATAATATGACTGTCCCATTTCAAAACACAGTAACTGAATGATTTTAAAAATATAGAAAAATCGATTTTTCTAAAATTTCCAGGCCGCAAAATTATTAAAATAAATTAAATAAAAAAGTTATAGTGCCTTAGAGAAACCCTATTTACATTTTTTTATGTAATTAAATGTAGTAATTTGACTTCACAGTAGGTCGGCAGTCAAAAAACTAATTGAGCAAAGACTTTTTTAGATAAATAAACAACTTAGCTCATATCAAAACACAATAACTGCCCTTGCTGGATTTTGTAAAAATTACTGTTGTAAAAATACTCTATTGCAAAAAACAGTAAGTGTCATTACTGTGTTTTAGGAGTATATATTAAACATATAGGAAATTTTGTTAACTGCCATTAGTGGGTTTTGGAAAAGTAAAATAAAAATATAAGAAAGCAAAAAATCTTAATTTTTTGCAAATAATACAAACAAAACTTTGAATTAAAATAAGTAATACCTAATACTAAACTAATACAAAATGGACGGATTATAAAAAATAAATAACCCCTGAAAACCAAAAAAATATAGGTATACCTATAGATAGCAATTTTTTAACTTATATTGATAACAAAACGAAAACTAAAACTAATGGAAAAAACTAAAACTAAACTTTAAAAATCGGAATCGACCGCCTCCATTTATTCGTGATTGATTAAATCCAAAGAAGTTTGCGATTCTTCCAAATTTTGCCAAAATATCTTCCTATTCTCTGGCATCATTGGAACCAAATTTTTTAAAATAATAGATTTTTTTGTCCCTCGAAATTCCACGAGCATTTAAAGTTTTTGGCGTAAAAGTACTTGGGCAAAACTTTTTTTGAAGAAAATTCAATTCTTTGGAATCATTGGCAAAATCGGTTTTAAATTTCTTCTGGTCCACCAGCACGATTTACTTCGGTAATCAAGGAAGTATATAAAACCCAATTTTTGTCCTGGGCCGTACAGTTATCAGCCCAGAATACAAAATGAGAAACATCTCTTTTTTTTCTTAAAACTTCTAAAAGAGCGTCAACAATAGCCTCAGCTTTACGTCCGCCTAAAGCTTCGTGCCACAGTACACAGTAGCTTTTATTTTTGGATACTTTATTTAAAGTAGCAAACGTAGGTTAAAGACAACAAGTCGACTTGTAAATATGGCAATTTTACTTTAAGGCATAATTGGCAAAATAATCCTTTTGCAAGTCCATAGAATAGATACGTTTTGTTTGAGAGTCTTTTTTGTATTCTAGGTTTGCCTTTTCGGCTTTAGCACGGTGAGAATTTAAATTTTCTTGAGTTGTATCATCGCCATCATTTTCTAACATAATATTTAACATTTTGCATTCTTTACAGCAATCTGATTTGGGTTGGCACAGTGAAATATTCATTTCTTCCAAAACTTGCCTATATAGTCTAAGATCCGAAGTAAGGTCGACCTTCACCCATCTGTTTAATGGATAAAAGTTTCTTTTTATTACATAAAATAAATTTATAAATATACCGAAAATGGGTTGCCTAAAAAAATACGGTCCAGAGTATTTTTTTTTCTTAAAGTAAAAAAAAAACGAGACCCTGTAAAGTATTCCCCAGATAATAATAATAATAATAATAATAAAATTTATTCACTCAAAATGATGACACAAAAGATAATATAACATAATAATTAATATAAATTTATGAATATGTAATACTTATCATCAATTATTACTAAAAGTAAAGTAAACAAATGGTAACCCACAAAGGTATGACCTGTCCGTGGGTGATTCCATTTTTGCTTGTCTCCAATTTTTAATGTATTAAAATACAATTAATATATTATACAAAATCACAATAATATTCAACACACAAACATATTTAAATAATGTAGTATAAATTATGTAAACACTAAGGCGTAATTAAATTATGAATCACTTTCCTATCACATTTTAATATAAAAGTTTTAGCTTTTTTGACTGTTATATTGTTCTACAGAATCTAGCTCTATGGTTTGTAATGGAGTATAATTATAATCTCTAATATACGGGTTCATAATTTAATTACTATAAGTTTATATTATTCAAAAAATTCAGACAAACCTATTGATTATTTAATTCAAAAACATCCAAAACACATTTAGTTACATTTTTTTTTATTTTTATATACTATCTAGCTACTTTAAAATTTATTTAGGCTTTTTATTGTTACTTAGATTTCCCACTTTTAAAAATTTATTTTCTTTGGAACCCACTCCTGATGCAGAGCCAAGCCTGGTTTGGTATCGTTTCTTCTGGTCTTCTTGAGTTTGTTCTTTAATTACCTCTTCACTTTCTTTTGTCCTCTCCGAGCTTGTATTTTTCTGAGTAATCTCTAAAGTACTCTCTGTGAATACAACTTCTTCTATTTCACTCTCTATTTGGCTTGGTGTTTGAGGTGCATTAAAACTGTTTCCAGAGGGTGGTGGTGAGAAATGTTTGTCTGACTTTTCTTCTCTCTCATTTAATATATCTGTTGCTGTATACGTTTTGTTTTCTATGATAACCTTTCTTCCTTTGATTACAGCACGTTTATTTTCATTTTTTGCTTCTTTCATGTACTGAACAAGAATTTTTTTTCTTCTAAATCTTTTATAATTAAATCTTCGGATATGGTGGTGTAGCGGTCTATCGCGCTTATATTCATTTATAGGCAAGTTTATGAGTCTGAGACTGCTGGGTTTCGAATCCCAGACCAGACCATGTGGATTTTTAATTAAATTGCATGGTTCGGTTTAGGATTTGATGTGTGGCGTATTAATAGAAATTCAATTTCTGTTGATATGACATGCAGATTAAAAAAAATTCGCCATACATTACCGTCTCGATGATGGTGGGTGAGGTTTTCCGGGTTTTCCTCACCTGTAAGTCAAATGGCACCATCAATCATCTTTAAGTCGCCCCGGAGCGCCACGGCAAATAATAATAATAGCCGTCCCTTTCCCCGGACAAGCTCAGCTTTTGGGGTTAAAATTCACTCGTAAGGGGGTGAATTAGGGAGAGTATTATTATTATTATTATTATTATTATTATTATTATTATTATTATTATTATTATTATGTATATTCCAAGATTTTTTAATAATCTAGTGTTTTTTAAAATTTCGGAACGCTTTAAATTTGAATGAAATTTAACTAAAACTGGTCTAAAGCTGTTTTTGTTTTTCCCTATGCGGTATATATTAGTTATATCAAAACTTTCAATATTTATTTGTAGATGCTCTTTAATAACTGTTGTTATAGTAGCCAGTAATTGTTTTATGGTTTCTTCAGTTTTTTCATATACACCATAAAAAATTAAATTCTGTTCTTTCAGTTTTCTTTCCACAATTTCTAATTTAGTTTTTAAATTTTTATTTTCGGAATCAAGTTCTTCTAATTTATGATATAATTCTACTAATTTATTCCCAACACTGTGTGAAAAGGTTTTAAATTCAAGATTCAGATTATCAATTTTATTAGTCAGATTCTGATTAGTGTGTTTTACTAATTCAAATAAATCATCTAAAGTTTTATTTTGATTCATAATTAATAGGTACTATATACGCCACTGACTTCGTATTTTAATGTTTATCAGCAAAATAATCCAGTTTTTCTATCTTGGTATTTTGTTAATCCACTGTTATTTTGTGCTTATTTCGTTGTAAAATATATTTAAAGAGTTTTCACTTACTTCATCGTGTTTCTCATAGTTTTATAAATCGATTGATATAAAATACAAAATTGTCTGCAAAGTGTTTACCACTGAAACTGTTAATTTTCGGGAGCGCACATTTAAATCACTTGTTTCGTAGAACAACGAACTTCGTATGCCCAAACTTTAATCAGCTCACCTCAGGATGGATTAAAGCTTAAATTTAAAATTTGGTGTTTTTCTCTTGGTCCGTTTTTGAGTTGTCTTCAAAATTCGAAATTTGCACTTTTCCCCAAATATCTCGAATTAGGTCCATTTTAGGAAAATCATGTATAGGAATAAAATAATAGATAATGACATCATAAACAACTTTTATCATGATTTTTATACTTTTCTTATCTGTACACAGAAAGGAAAGTAAAAAATGGGCGTGACCGTATCTTCTTAGGCAACCCATTTGCAGTATATTTAAAAACATATTTTATTTAATAAAACATAAGTTTTTTCCATTAAACAGATGGGTGAAGGTCGACCCTACTTACGGATCCTGGACTAATATACTTCAATTTTACAAACGGATGGATGCTTTGATACAAAATCATCATGCATTTTCTTATAAGTTAGCTCTCTTGGTAGATATCTTACATTTGGAGGATTCTTTCTGCGATAATGACTCACTGATGGCTTGAACGACTCAATATGGTTTCTTATTAGGTCTCGATTTGACGTCTGACGGCAGCCACCTCTACGTTCTTTAACCTGATCTCCACAAGAACTTTGTTTAAGCACTGAAAATAATTCTGTTATAACAGAATCGTTGCTATACCCTAAGGTATTCAAAAAAGTACATCTACACACCTCGATTGCTGTATAATTTTCTTGTGGCAAAGTAAAACGCCTTGATTCGGACCTCTTACGTGTTGCTGATTCGGTTCTGCGTTTAATGTGAACCAGCTTAACATGTTTATATAACCATTTTCATCTATTTCTGTAGTCTAAATTCCAGTACTCCATCCAGATAATACTTCGGTGGTCTTCTGTCAATCTTTTGCACATCCTGTCATACTTACCCTTACAAGGAGCTCTTATAGGATGTTTTGCCTTATTTCTTTCTCTTTTTTCTTTCATCTTTAACTCTTTTCTGTTTTTATTTTTATGTTATGTGCCAATCACTTCATCCGCTTCAGTATTATTAACCTAAAAATAATATAATATACAGTTCATCAAATTTCTAGAGGTGTTCGACGCCCAGACAGAGAACGCGCTACGTGTGACTAAGATAGCTATTGTACAGTCTGCTAAACAAGTTATTTTAAATAGTTTTTAATATTTTTAGGTAATTAAATTTTAAAAGTGTGGAATAGTTTAGGGATTAAATTGGTCTGATTGGACTTTCTTAGAACGTTTTTAAAAGCAGCTAAAGATAGTATGTAGAATTGAAAATAATTATTATGCCATAAAAGGTGTTTTGGAATTCCTTCAACCTTTTGAAATTGAGTCAGAAAATATAAATTTTATAGGATAGCGGAAAATACCTATAATTTTTTTGTAGGACTTTGTAAATCGTGGAAATAGTTTATATTTTATTTCTACCTTATTAAGGAAAATGGTACCTATTATTAATAACGGTTGTTTCTGAAACATTACTAAAATTTTCGAAATTTTGTTTTTCTACAAAATAATAAACTATACTATTTAGAAAAAAAATTATTTCTCTTATAATTTTATAAAAAATAACAGGGGAATATTTACATTTCTTGATCTATTAAACAAAACGATAAATTATCTCGACGAATGACACCATGTTCTAGTACGGAAGCTAGCTTTACATTTTTGTTGGTGGTTTCATGGGTTTCATATCAATTTTTTGTAATTGTAGTTTACACGTACATATACCTCTTAACACTTGTTTGCTTTATTAAAAAAAGTGTGTTGTTGTGATTAACGTCGAAATAAGTCAAAAACAACTTGAAACCCCATATAAAATCAAAAAGGAGAAACGGAAAAAAATTGAGCCTGTAAATGAACACAACTCAGAAACAAAAATAGCTATCTAATAATAAAAAAATAAAATTTGATTCTTGTGCATCTTCGTTGTAAAAATAGATAATACTTTTTTGATCTTAGGTACAGATATAATTTTAATGGTCTTCCGAAAAACTTTCTTCAGTTTCCATATCAGATTCAAAATCAGTCTCACTGTCACTGTTTAAGTTAATTATAAATCTATCAGTTGCCTCATCCAAAGTAACTTCTCTGTCATAAAATTTAGATTCCCACATTTTAGCATTATTACAACGAGATTGCCACTCCTCTTTAGAAAACGTATCAAAAAAGTCTTCACACAACAGTTATACGTCTTGCCTCTTAAATGTAGTGTTGTTACTAGCTACATATTGTTTCAATGATGCCCACACTAATTCGATCGGATTAAGATCGGGATGATACGGTGGCAAACGAAAACAACTGAAACCATGTTCATTTATCATTTCTTCAATTGCATACCTCTTAAATCGTGACTTATGCAATAGCACTAAACTGTATAATTGCGTTTTGAGCATATCCTCTTCGTAAGCAATATTATGATTCCTTAACCAATCCTGCATGGCAGCTTTTTTAGAAGTTGACGTTGGTGCTTTATTTACCTGGACATTATGGTAAGGAGCATTATCAACAATAATGACGCTTCTTGGAGGGAGGTTCGGAAACAGCTTTTCTTTCAACCATTTAGAAAAATTATTAAAATTCATTTCATCGTGGTAGTCTCCACTTTTGGTTCCAGATTTGAAAATTAACCGGGCATTCGGAATAAAGCCCATTTCACCTCCTGCATGGACAATAATTAGTCTATCACCTTTATTAATTGGTTTCTTTAATCCCTCATTTGAATTATCACTCCAAGCTTTCTGGTGTGTGTGGGAGGCATGAATGTATGTTTCATCTAAGTAGACAATTGGACGGCCCTCTGCTCGATAACTTTTTTAAACGAATCAGATAGTCTAAACGTAGCTTTTGAATATCAAACCTTTCCATTAATATTTTTCTGTTTGTTTTTGTTTTCCGCCAACGAAATCCTAGCGACTTTATTATTTTTCTTAAACTTTCATAGCTTCCTTTGTACCCTGTAGCTTCTCTAAATTTAGTCAAAATTGTTTTTAATGTTGGAACAATATTTTCCGAGATTAACATGAACAGAATAATTCTTTTTAAAATACCTTTGTCAGCTTCATCTATATCATTAACTGTTTTTGGTTTTTTAATGGTTTTTCTTGGTGAAAAAGAGAAAATTGACGGTAATATATTAATGCGGACGACAGTGTTTTTAGATACTCCTGTGGCTGCAGCAACACGATCATTTACATTTTTAAATGGTATTGAAGGTGAATTAAAGTTTCCTTCTCTTCTCATAAACTCTATAACATTGGCTATTATTTCGCGAGATTGACTGTTAATCACGCGGCCTCTTAATTTGCTATTAAACTCCATACTTAGGTTCTATTAAACTGTAATGAGCAAAAAACACAAACGAAAATAAAAGAAATGTTTTAGCGAAATTTACATCTGACATTTACGTCTGAATAAAATAGTGAAATACTTGATGCGCAGAGTGTACTTTCATTGCGTAAATCCGTCGGCCCCGCCAACCGATGCCTCTCAGTAGTGCTTTCTCTGTCTAGCCGTCGAAAGCCTCTAGAAATTTGATGAACTGTATAAGTTTAATCCAATTAAAGTGAACAAAAAAATAAATTCTCATTTTTAAAGAGAAAGCCAAACAATTACCAATATGGTAGCTTCTTTACTGATGACATTGGGCAAGTTAATGTTCTCTTTTTGAGCTTCTGTACTGCCAGGAATTACATTGGGAAAGTTAGTTTCCTTTAGGTTTGCATTCTAAAAAAATGTTTTATTTTTATACAACGGTTATGCATTTTAACTATAATATAAATATATAATATAAAGTATTTTACTTAGGTGACGTAACATTAAAAAAAAACTAGAAACTTATTATTAAAGTGGCTTCATTACTTTCAAGAACTATCCTAGGCAAAGCATTTTTGTTTGTCGCATCCTAAAAAATATTTTTTTTTTAATTGGTTAATATGAAAAACATAAAAACAATTACACATGTTAAACAAAAAAAGTAAAAAATATATTACCGTCAATTTTCTTTTATATTTTTATTCGCATCATGACTACCATTATCGCTAGATGATGATGAGTTAGAATCAGATGTCGGGTAGTAATTTCTGTCTTGATCACTGTTATCAATGGGGCTTTCAATGCAATTACGTTTTAAGTATTCTATTTCTTGCATCGTTGTCGACCAACCATTATTATAAGAGTAAAAGGTTTTTAACTTTTCTATTTGTATTTCCTTTCGATTTTGACTTTCAAAATTAGATAGAAAAAATGTACATGCTTCATATTTTATGGCCGAGAAAAGTGGAAAGTCATCGATATTCTATAATAATAAAATATTCATAAAAATATACTAGTCAGCGAAACAGAATTCATGTTTTTTAGAAAGAGATACAACAAGATTATTTTGTTTCAATTTACCTGCTTTTTTACGCTTGAACGTGCGGAAGAAACAATGTTTTTAATTCGGGAACTACACGGCAGCATGCTCTCGTGGCGTAGCATCCCCTCGCCTCTAGATTTGGAGTCTAACTGGCTGAAAGCTGAAAAGCGCGGTTTGCTAGCAGTTACAGGGTAATTGTTATGGTGGGGACTCCACTTTTTATACAAATTGGAACACATTTCCTATATCAAAACACATTAACTACAAAACATATTTCAAAACCCAGTAACTATAAAGTAGTTACTTGGTTTTGATTTGGGTTTTGTTAGTTAATGTGTTTTGAAATGGGAAAAGAATCGGTCGAATGTCAGTTACTGTGTTTTGCACCTACCGTATCTTCCTTATTTGTGGACCGATTTTAGTTTTAAAAATACCGAAAGAGCAAAACCCCGTAACCTCAAATTACAAAAAAAATGATTTTGAAAAAAATGTCAGTCACTGTGTTTTGAGATGGGACAGCCGAATAGCCTCAGAGTAAAATGCCTGTGAGAAACAGACGGACGAACACCAGAATAATTCCATAAGTGTTCCTTTTTTGTAATTTTGAAGACGGAACCATAAAAATATACTTGTCAGAGGTAAGCCTTTATTTTGCTGAACATGAGGATATTTGCAATGTTGCCAGATTTTCCGTTTCTCTTATATTATTAGTCGCTTTGGTTTTTCAAATTCATTACCCTGTATATTCTATATATCCTATTCAATACGAGTTCAACCATATGTAACACTTATGATTTTCTGGAGTCTGGAAGGTCTTAAAACAATAAAACAGAAGTCTGGCAACGCCTAATTGTCTGAAAACATTTTTTAATACAAACTATTTTCAACTACATTAAAACGTAACAATTGAAAGATTACAACATTTTTAACATAATATTTACTTTATCAAGTGTTCAAAATGTGCTCCATTTGTGAATTGATAGTACCCTAATCTATGGTAGAATGCGTCTACCACATTTCTCCATGATTGTTTTATTTATTTAAGACCTTCCAGACTACATCAAATCATAAGTGTTACATATGGGTAAACTCGTATTGAATACGAAAATCCAATAATGACTAAATATACAGCGGTGATGAATTTTAAAGACCAAAGTGACTAATAATATAAGAGAAACGGCAAATCTGGCAACATTGCAAATATCAAATCTGGAATCTCCGTATCCCAAAATAGGTGTACCCTAAATTTTGTACAATTATTACTAGCAATTTACGAGATAATTGGCCGTTTCCAGACTTTTGGGCCACTCCGTATATATTGTGTATTAGCTTTCTTGAAGACACTTGAATTCCCGTCACTTACGATTTTAACCTTAATCCGTACCTATAATTCCCGCCAAGCAGTTGAAACTTGAGATAATTCACTACTCGAGTTCCCGTAAGGGACAAATTTAATTAGGTAGGTACTTTGAAAGAGAAAAACGTAAATTAGTTTATACAAAAAGTTTTATACAAATGGGAAAAATGTTTATCTTACATTTCCCAAAAAAAGTAATATCTATGAAAATCTCCGCATGTTCTAAAATCTAAAATACAGCTATCAAAT